TGGCTGGGGAATTCTGGGAGTTGAAGTCCACTCATCTTAAAGTGGCCAAGTTTGGACAACACTGCCCTAAATCAAAGTTCCATGAACTGAGAATTGTGATCTTAACATGTGACTTTAAGCACTTGCAATAGCTTGTCATAGCAGCTTAAGAAAAGTCCAGAACTACAAAAGAAAAGATAGTTCATGCTGATGGGAATGGTAGCTTTAATTTATTTTGGTTATATCGCTTTTTATAAACCAACTTCAGTATGATACTTAATTATCATGAACTTATTTCTCTTGCTATGGAACAGTGCTTCATAGGACTTTGTTTGCTGGTTTGAATCAGCTCTAATTGTTTAGGTTCTGAAATTAACTTGAAAAGTTGCCATGTATTTTAAGGAGAAATGTGGAATATGTACTCAGTTCATTCACAAGAGGGTTTCCCAATGATAATTCTATAACTTACTTACTTACTGGGAAGCCTGAGAGCTGCATGATGTTCAGTTGCTGTCACTGCTGAGTGGCAGCAAAGGATATCCAGGCTCATTGGACACAGCCCAAAGGACCTAATTTTGTTATTTATCTTTCAAGTAACAAAACACACGATCTCTACAAAAATTGCTGCTGTGCATTTAAGAATATAAATAGGATTTGGGGCTAGGATAGATGTACACTGATGGTCCAAATTTTATAGTTGTACAGGGACTCCAATCCTCCCTTGAAGCTGTTTCCCAAAAAGGATTCTGGTGAACCTCTGTCTGGCTTGTGACATCCCACAAAGGTCCCTCTTGTCCCCCATCTTGTTCTATATCTACTTGAAAATGGTGGGAGAAGTTTTTTGTAGCTTTGGAATCAGAGGTCATCCATATGGTGAAGACATCCACTTCTATTGTTTCTTTCTATCTCTAGGAAGCAGCTGATTTCCTCTACTGTTGCTTAAATTTAATAATGGGCTAGATAAGGGTAAATAAACTGAAATTTAATCCAAACAAGTGTGGTTATTTGGTAGGAAACTAGCTGTGGGATGGAGGTTCAATATTTTTTTGAACAGAGTTGCACTCCCTCTGAAAAAGCAGGTTCAGTAGTAACAAAGAATTCCTTTGCACAATCATGCCTAGTGTGTCAGCTGCAACCATTCTTGAGCTGGTCAAGCCTATCAAGAGTTACATATGCCATGATTACACTCTAACATTAGTACTGCAATGTCCTTAGGTGGGGGGAGGGATCTGCCCTTCAAGAATAAGCAGAAGCTTCAGTCAATGCAAGATGTAGCCACTAGACTGCTACATGACACACAATATGAGAAACATTGTGCCTGTGTTTTGCACTACCGATTGCAATTCTTTTGGCACATAACTTGTGTAGATATAAAATATACTAGACAGTAAGACAGTGGATTTTTATTCACACAGTGGGGTGTTCCAATCTGCCTTCCTATTACATTCCTATTCCCTTGCATCCCTGAAAACCTATTCTTGAGGACTGAGGTTCTCCCAGTTGATGTGGGTGACAGAAAGGGAATGTACTGCGAGGGATTTGGGACAGGCACCATGCAAGGACTGAAGTGCTCTTCTACACAACACGTTTGGATCTAAGTCATTATAACTTATGCAGGCCTTCCTTCCTTTCATGCTTATCAAGACACAAGTATAACTTATGGAGGAAAATGCACACTGGACTGGAATGCAGTGATCACAGCAAACTTTTCAAAACACAGTAACACTCAACATGTTTTCTACCTTGCGAATAGTAGGAAATTTTCCTTCATACCGATAAAACCATCCAAAAGCTATATGTATGCAAAGGAGAACAACACATTATAGATATTTGCATCAGCAGATTACCATGTACAACTGACATAAAAGGGTGCAAACGATAGCAATGGAAACAGAGTACATTTTTATCTTAACTTTGAAATGTCTATAAAGAACAGGCATAAGTCTATTCTTCTTCAGTTTGTCAGTTCTAGCCATTTCACTTTCATAACCACTTCATACACACTTAACTTTCATTTTTATTCACTTTCATGACTATTTTGATACAAGTACTTTAATCCAAGTATCAGAATTTAATTTTTCAGAAACATACTGTATGATACTCTCCAACTAAAAGCTTCACTAGTTATATTGGTAGAGAGCATCTGTTTAGAGTTGTTACTAGTTGGTGTGCAGGGAAATGATACCTACTCGAGCTAGAACTTTGATCCCAACCATAAATAAAATAATAATTTTGAAAATTAAAAGAAACATGATCTAAGAATGGGATGATAACCCAGTATACTATTTTTTATCAATAGCAGCAATTTCAACTGTTATTTTTCCACACAAAATTGCACTGGATATTCATCTGTTCTTTAATGGAAAACATATTAGCCGAAATTCATAACACTGCTAATATGGAAAAGACTTACAATTTATACTGAAGATATATCAAGGACCTTATTGGCATTTCACCAGTTTTAGATCCGCTCAATACAATAATGCTATTTTTTTCTAGCTTGAAAATTTGGAATGGTATTTATACATTATAAGGCATGGATGTAATTTAATAAGTCGTCTCCCTGGTTGAAGTATCTTCTAATCCTTTAAAGACTACACTATATCTCTTCAGTTCTACATGTTCAGCTTATAATTAAATTACAGTTTCATATTTGGCTAGTCACCTGGACATAAAGAAAAAAAAAGGCTGGTATTTATACTGTGGACAGCAGGACCAAAATTAAACTTGTTAATTAAGAAGACAGTATATTTAATTTTTGTGGTTTGCCCAGAAATCCTTGTGATAGCACTCAAAAGCTCAGTTTTTAAGCAGAATTAGTTGAACAAAACCTTTCATTTTTACAAGTTCTACCTAGCTTCCTCTATGCCTTCCTGTAACAATTTACAGTAATTGTTAAAGGACATTAAATAGAAGGGTATACAGACAAAAGGCACTTCCTTAGTTTTCTATTGGAAAAATCACTTCTGACACAGCTTTATTTGAGCTATTCCTTGATCCCAGCTCTGTTTTACATTGGTAATGAAACATAACAGGCAAAGACCTCATGCATAGCCATTTCATAATGCTTTTCTCTTGTGCTGAAAAATCATACAAAATGATGTTGGCTAGTACAGCAAATAAATATTAATGCTTCCCTTAATGTGAGAATTACAGGAAACCAAAGAGGAGCATAGTCCAGTCCAGCATTAAGACTGACTGTCAGGAGGAGGAACAGTGCAGGAAGTAAGAAAGTCAAGAGGAGAAGTGAAGGTGCTACAGCAAACCTGTTGGCTTTCCTTCAGCTCCATTCCAGTCCTGTCCTTTGCTGTGGACTGATCGAATGCAGTTTCCTCTAAATCTACTTGAGAAACAAAGGAAGAAAGAAACAAAAGAAAAAGAAATGACAATTCTTTGGCAGGAGGGTGGCTCTCATGAAATGAAAGAATTAAAAACAAAAGAGTTTATGAAGAAAGTAGGCACATCTAACAGCTAGATAAGTTCTGGATTCTTTTATGCTTTAATTCTATAAACTGATGCTCCATTCCTGGACTGCCATGCAGGGCTACTATAAATTGATCTGAAATGCCAGTCATTTACTGTACATGTCCCAAGAGTCTCATGGCAGCAGTTAAAGTGAGTCTATGTACTTGGACACAGAAATATAGATTTCTGGAAATTATTTCTTATAGAAAAGAAAATGAAGGTGTATTCATTCTTCCTCAGTTCATTGCAGTTTTTGTTTTCCTCTGGAAAAGCCTTCAGAATGTACAGCATTTAATCAGTGTAACAGAAAGTGAGAGAGAAGAAAAATCAATAGCTGCCCTAGAGATTCATTCCTCAGCTCAGAGCTCTTGCTTCGCCCCAGGCATACGTTTTGAGAAATGTATCATGCTGGAATTAATGAAGCATATTTCTTACACGTAAGAATAAAAGTTCTTACTTACACTGATGTTTAGGATGAGGTGGAGGATGTACTTCTGCAACTACAGATCTGGCAGCTTTTAGTGGTTCTTTAGGGCCCCAATCTTCCTCCCACTGCTTTTTAAATTTCTCTTCCTCTGCCTTTATTCTGGAAAAGAGGAAAATATTGCTCCTTTAGAGAGCATAGGGTGAAAGCACACGATAAAGCCACCTTAGTGGCTACACAGATTTAATGCTAGTCAATCTCTGGACAAGAAACCAGATGGAAGTGTTCTTTTTTTTATCCTGCCTTTATTATTGGTTTATTTATTATCTGTTTGTCTTTTTGCTTGTTTATTATTGTTCTTTGTTTTATTGTAAACTGCCAGGAGACTTAGGGAGTTGGTGATTAAAAACAACAACTCAATCAATATATAAACCAACTAACCATTCTGAGCTTCATGATGGAAGGAAGTTGTGCTGTAAACATACTAAGCGAGGCTGAGTTTATTTATTTTGTTATTTCTCACTTATAGTTAACAAAAATGTCAAAAGCATATTAAAATAAACTGTATGAAGCAATCACAATTAAACATCCCCCAATCCTTCTGATTTCAGAGTATGCTATTTCAGCATGTACTGTGGTTGCTGCCCTGTAGAAAATACCATCCTGACTTGGCCAGTTTTTGGTCAGAAGAGCAAGAAAGTGAATCTCCAAGGGTTTTTTAAACTTCCATTCTTATGTTATTTTATTTCCATATACAGTATTTCTATACTGCTTCCCATACAAATGCATCCCAAAGTCACTTATATAAAAGTATACAAAATAAATAAAACAATGTAAAAACATATTGATTACATTAAAGGAAAAACAATAACAAATAGCCATTCTAAAGCAGGGAATTCTCAGCAAACACTTTTCCAGAATTTTGTTTTGGCCTACTGTAAGTCTTAAGCTGTACTCTGTTAGATATCTCTCCTGCTGAAATTTCTCACTCTTATGGGTCAATGGGTATAATGAATTCAATAATCTCAAGTGAGAAGCAGCAGAGAAATATATTCCAGGCAATAAGTATTTATGAATGCATAACCATAATTAAATGAAAATGGAATTTGTTAAAATGAAATTCAAATCGACCTGCAAAGAAAGAATGCTTATAATGGGCAGTTTCATCATATCAGTCTCAGTGGACATTGAGAATTGTGAGAACAGTCCCTCGCTACCACCTCAGGTCCAACCTTGGTAGTGTTATTCTACCGAAATAAATTCCCCACAGATTCCCAGAAGAGGCTCTTTGATCTGAATCAGACTGCAGTGGAAGTCACAGTCCTGCAATCTGAAATGAAGAAAGATCCCATAGGCACCTCTACAGAGCTGCTTAGGAATCACAGAAGTGGCCAAAGGGTAGATGTTTCCTAAACACACCTCCTTACTCCACCAAGATCCCAATACGGATCAAACACACTCCTGAGAGTAATTTGTGAGGGGAGAAAAGTATATCTGGTTGACATTTTCCTCCTCAAAGCCAATCGTTACTGTGATGTAATGCCACAGTAATGCCACAGTGATTCCCATATCCCCCCTAGCCTTTAACTAAGCCTAGGCATCTATAATCCATATAATTAAATATCCCTTTCCCTTATACTCCTGCCACTACTTCCCTTCCTTTATGGCAATTTTTAATTGCAAGTTTCACACAGCGCTGCATATATAGTAAAGAAACAGATATATTAATGGTTCTAACAAGCAAACAAACAAAAATTGAAGATAAACACATACAGCAAGCATGTAGCCTTTCCTAGATTCAGAAATCTTTAGAGCTTGGGCCACAAATAATCCTCATTGCCCCTTTTTATACAAATCTTTATGCCTATTACATTCTCAGTACAATTTTGAGCCAAATTTCTGCAAGACTCCTTGTTTAGTTAACATTTCATACAGAACCTGATGTTCAGAAGAGCTGTTCTCATCACTTGAAGTGGTGTAGACCAATTGGAACCAAAGCTACATAATTTGCAATCAAATGAATAGCAGAATATCTTAAAAGACAATCATGACTGTTGGGCTTACTCCATGTATAATTGTGTAACAAATGCATGAGCAGCAATGCATACCTTACCTTTTATCACCCTTTCTCTATGACAGCTTGGAAGCTCACCAATATAAGAAGCTGAATGTTTTATTTTACCTTTTACTATATATTTGTTTTATATATTTAACATAATATAATTTAATTTACTTATAATTTTGACCAGTTTTGACATTCAAATAGTAAGCTGCGATTTATTATAGATTCATCTGTTTTATTTAACATCAGATGTTTTTTAAAAAAAGTATTTTCTAATGTTATTGTTATCCACCATGAGTCTTAATGAAAGGCAAACAAACATATGTATATGTAAAGCAATTCTTGCTGTACTGCAGGAAGTGGGGGCAACCATTTTCAATCAGTCTCCATGGCTAATCTTCCCTGGTCTTTGGTTGGGACCAAGGGATAAAAGAGTAAGTCCACCCTATAGATTTTCATGTGTACATATCTATTTATTGGTGTAAGGATTCGTGTATTTCTACACACCCATTTGCAGAGTCATCCATCCATTATCCATCTAACCATCCAACAACAACCAGCTAGATTCTCCCCCTTACATATCTCTGTATACCAAACGTGCTTTAAAAATCTTCCCTTGAAAACTTAGCTGCTTTTTTTAGCTTAATTGTTCTGCAAGGGGGCATTTTTGTAGGGATTACAGTGTCTACAAAAGAAAACTTCACCCTTATCTCCCTCTTTTCAAATCACTCTTATACCTATTTACTCAATTTTAATTCATATTAATTAATTAATTAAAAGCTTCATTTCATACCACTATTACTGTGTTGGGAAATTCACAAATTTAATTGGGGTGGAAATCATCGGCCAGATCTGACTTTTGGGTTGGAATTTTCCTCTTCCTTCTATACTGTACCATTTGAGAAGAGGTAGAGGGCATGGATGACAATCTAGTCCTTAACCAAACAATCCTTGACATGTCAGGAAGAACTATTCTAGTTAAGCTTGAACTATTTCAAACAGAAGCTTCTACCACTTGTGATTTGAAACAAGGCCTGATTCTTGTATTACTATAGTTTGAGGGAGGGGTTTTGGAAGTGGGGAAATACAGTTTGAATTTTCCTGGTCACTTTTTTTGTCATTCCCAAAGTCATAGCACCATTTTAAAAAGCAAATATAGCCGTGTGAACAACATATTGCAAGAGGAAAAGGCATGCATGAAAGAATGACTTAACTGTTCCATTTCTTTACGATATCGTTCTTCTTCCTCAGCAGCCTTCTGGGCAATCTCCATTTTCCGTCTAGAAATATATACCCCATTGAAACTAATGATATTTAATGTATCAAGTCACAATTTGTAGGTAGCCTGTTCTATTGTTTGATAGATCACGATTTTATACCCTGAGATAGACAGATATATGAGAAATGCAAGACTTATCTACCTACTAAGAAGTCTAAGCCTTATTCCTTCTGATTCTTTCTGATTAACAAAGGTGAGTTACTAGTAGGATTGATCAACATTTGAACTTGGGCTTTATTCACCCACAACTTTTATGATTTGAGAATCATTGAATATGATGACTGAACTATGGAACCCTGATGTTTAATGTGGCTATTTTGAGGCTATTTCCTGGCCCTCTGAACAGGTTTGAGCATGAACAGAAGGTGTTTCTTCTGTTCTTGTCTTGAATTATTTTAAAAAATTGCTCACTTTGTTTTAATGTCCCACTGAGTTGTTATTCTAGGAGTTCACTATTTAATGTACTAGTTGTTCAGTTCAGTATTTCACTCTTAGTTGTGTTAGGATCTCAGTGCTTTTCTTTGAGTTAGATTAACAGAAAAGACAGAACTATTTACAAACGTAACTTCAGTTTATTTTATTTTGCATGCATATGCTAGCATGCATGTCTTAGTAGTAGGCTTCAGAAAACCTTTACTGCTTTTGTCATGCTCCTCTTCAAGCGTATACTTAATGCTGAAGGGTGATCATGACATATGTTGGGTTCTGACAAATGTTGAGTTAAATTTCTGAATTGGTCAACATTTTACTTCATTAAAGAGTAGATAAGCATGTCATTTAATGGCACAGAAAGAAAAATTTATTATACCATTTTGAGTGGCCTTTCTTCTTAAATCAAAATTCCACTCCTGCTATTAATATACTCTGCTCTGCATAATGAAATGTAACTGTGCTTATTGATCCTATATTGGTCAATTTCATATTAATTATTTTTAGGGTCTAATAGCATCATCCAGCCATTATAATGGCAATATATCAGCAAGGAAGATAGGCTTTATCTACAGCTATAAGACATTATAAATCCCTAATGTGGAAAGTCAGAAAACAGTTAAAAATAATTCTCTTTTATTAATAGCCATCTGCTCGATTAGTGCTATTGCCTTTTGACAAGAAAATGCTTCTTTGCTTTAAAATACCTTACTGATTTCTCTGTACTATTCAAAATCAGGCTTTGTATCTAACAAACAGTAATCTTCAATGATCATGATGTATAATCACTGCAATGCTCTGAAGCCTTCAGAAAAGAAATCAAGTTAACTAAGTTCTGATAGTTATATGAATCAACAGTTGCACGTTATAGGGATTCATTAATCCATGAGACCCCTTCTACCCCAAGCTCTTACAGTTTTTCCTTTTCTTGCTGTTCTTTCAGGATTTTATTGGTTTCCAGTGCAAGCCACTTCTGACGCATTAACTCTTGGCGCTCCATCTCACGGTTATATTCTTCCCTTTGCCTCTCTTCCTCAGTCATAAACAGCTCCTTGCCCTAAATATTATTTTAAATCCCTGTTAATTAACTTAGCCAGTCAGTCGTCATAGTAATTAACATAAGTGTTTGAGAAATAACACCTTTTGCAATATTTTCTTCAGGGAAAACCAAATGTCTCTACAAAACCTATAGACAAGCACTACCTTCTTTCGTTTATTGATCTGTGAGAATTTTGATAAAACAGAAATAATTTAAAACAAACACAGCTGCAACAAATGCAAAAAGGAAAATGCTGGAGGCACGTTAAGGTGCAGTTGTCTGAATTCTGCTCTTATCTTTATGTGCGCTGTCTGTGTCTGCTCCTCTGGCCTCTGTATCGTGGGAATTCATTTGCAGAAATTTGCATTTGAGAACTTTGAAATCCATTTGAAATCTATTTTAGAATCATGATGTCTCATAAATTTAAATATGCATGCTATTTCATTTTAGCGTTGTTTATCATGGTTTGATTACCTTCGGGTTACATTCTCACCTCTATTTTCTTGTAACTGTATATCTTTACACTGAAGGGTGTGAACACAGCACCAGAGGTGTTATGCATAGCTAATGATACAAGCAGTCTCTGGTTGAACAACGATCCAAAACAAATGTGGATGTATTTCTGGAATTAGGACAGCACACTGTTGTTTGGTTTGCTTTTATCAGTTTGAAACAGATGATCACTTGTAGCAGAAGCTTGGTCTAGGTACAATGCAAGTAGAACGCTTGATGAGATATTTAGGTGACTAAGACCTAACTAAAATCTCTCTGTGTGTAACTTGCAGAGCTATACACTGCGTCCACTTGTAGCCTCTGATACGTATATATTACATATATGAGGGTAACTACAAAATGGCATCTGCTGTAGGTGGACATGGATCAAGATTTATGATTATGATTTTTTCTAAGGTTACATATGCGAAGTAAGAGACAATAATTGCAACAAAGCAACGTACTTTCAATGGGTCACCAAATCTAATTTGATATCCTAAAATATTTGTATATACATGGACAAAGTAGCAGGCATAACAAAATCAGCAGAGAAAGTACTGAACTGGCAAAGATGATTAAAGACAATATTGTGAAGTTTATAACTTATCCAGGCTGTATTCCTATATCTATTTACCTTCCTGTAAGCCCCTTTACATTTGATGGGACTGACTTCTGAGGTTTGTAATGTTAAGTTACTTAAGCCCAAATAAAACTATTTAGGATTTTAACTACATGAACTTAGAAGTAAGGGCATATCTCCTACCCACACTTCCTGCTTTTAGTGATCCTGGAATATGTGCTTTGTGTGTACTTCATGTCTTACTGATGTACACAGAAGCCTTCTCATTTTTCACAAGTCTTTTGCTGATTGCTGTGACATTAATACTTACAGCTCCTGTTACAACAGTGATTGTCAGGGTTTGACTGCTTTTCAACACCTTCACAGCCTGGGATAAAAAAAGAAGAAAAGGAAGGTGTTGACAGGAAAATCAAATAATCATTACATCTAAATCTTGTAAAAGTGTATAGTTTCTACAGGACTAACAATGCAGTTAGAATGGCTTTTTATTTGTCTCAGTATGTTTTTTTCCCTGTTATTATTCTAAAATATAGGGGAACTTAACTCTTTTCTAGTCATAAACACTGTTGCAAGAGACTTTCTTTTGATCATTTTGTTCAAGCAATGTGATAAAATTACTTTAGGAACTTCTATTAAAAAAATAAACACCTAGAGTTAGTTCTTCAGTTTTGAAATGAGGATTCAGTTTTATGCAATTTTATGCAGAATGCAAAGTAATTCCCAAGTGAATATGTTAGGATTGCAGGTGTATAAAACTTTTGACAAAGGTGACCTATTTTCAAAAATATTTTGAATTAAAATCCATTTCTCTGGTTCAAAATCTTTGGCTAATTTTTATTTTTGTCAGATAAAATTCTAAATTGTAGCTATAATGCTCTGACAGCCAATGGGCTTGAATCAATCAGTTGTATATTTATGTTTTATTTAAAATAACACTTAATAATAATAACAATACTGTAATAATAACTTATTAAATTTATATGCCTCCTGACTCCCAGTGACCCTTGGCAGTTTCAACAATTGTGAACTTTTAAAAAACAAAGAACAATACAGAAAACAAAAACAGCACAGACAAAGGGACTTCAATGGCAGAGGGGAACAGAAAGGAAGAAAGGGGGTGTCAATCATCCTCTCCAAAGGCCTGGGCAAAGAGCCAGGTCTTTAAGGCCCTTCAAAATCCCAGTAGGGTGGGAGCCATTTGAATTTCAGAGGGAACCTCATACCAGAGGGCAGGCGCTGCTATAGAGAAGGGGCACTTCCAGGGTCCCGATAGGTGGCACTGTTTAACTGATGGAACCCGGAGCGCACCAACCCTGCCAGATTGAACCGGTCAGGCAGATACTATGGGAGACAGGCGGTCCCTCAATTAATTAGGGCCTATGCCATGTAGGGCCATTTGGGCTTTAATTACCTCCTTATGATCCACATTAGAGAAGTCCATACCATTTACTTCAACAATCTGATCACCAACCTAAAAGCAATCAACAGAACAAAGGTGCTGATTTTTTTTGTACACTTCTTAGTATAGTAAGTGATGGTTCAAATCCTTGCTTTGGAAAACTCTTGAAATAAGACAGATCCTTAAAGCTTTGCTCTTTGCTGCCCTTTCTATCGTTAAAACATATATGTGCACGCACATATGCATATACACGCAGTATTCCCTGCCTCTTGTCAACAAAGAGAATCATTGATCAAAATTCTTATCCAAGGTTGGGGGGCATGCTAGTGGCTGGGTTAATGTTGGAACACTCAGCCTCTCAGGAGTATCTGATTTATCTTCGATTATCTTATTCAGTGTCACAATTCAATATTTAAGAGATGAGCATCGCAGAATTCTCTATTCAATGAAGATCTAATAATGGATCTCCTCCTTTGAGATTAGATCTTTATCCCTTGTGTCAAAGAAATTTCTTATCTATCCTGGCAGCTCAGATGAGAGGTACAGAATGCACCCTTAGCCTGGAAAAATGTGATTTCCTCTATTTGCTTGCATTGGGGGATGTGGGGAGAGGCGGCCTCCTCCTCCTCCTCCTCCTCCTCCTCCTCTTCACTTGACTTCTTTGCAACTTGTCTGCAGAGCATTAGAGACTTGAAAGTTCTGAAATCATACAGCTCCAGGAAAGGTAACTGAATTGCTTGACCTATAAGATTAGATCATTTCAAAGCAACAAGATAAATGTATATTCTTATCAGAATTTTCTGAACCTGCTCATTATTTTACTTTAACTTCTGGAACACATGACTGACTCCTCCCCACCCTTATTTACTTAATTAACTGATTATCTGTATTGACACTAACAAATGCTCTCAACACGGCTAACAATAATAGTATAAAATATACTACGTTCACCTGCAGGTTAAAAACCAACTTCCACAAAGCAAACTTTTCATCATTAGAGAATGGCCATTAGAAGTGTTCCAAATTAAAAGTTTCCACATGACTAGATTTTGCCTAGTTTATACTCACCTCCAACCCTACTTCTGCAGATAAAGAATTTGGTTTAACATTGCTTATGTAAATGCCAGGTTTTTGTGTAGGACCACTAGAAATACTGGAACAGAACATGAAAGAAATAAAATCACAAATTAATGTAATTCACATCAAGAATAGACTAATCACATCCCTCACATCCTTCATATATACCAAATCTAATCTGGTAGGTTGGGGATTTTTCTGAGCAAGGAGAAGAGAGAAATACATGGTTTATTGCAATAAAATGAAGAGGTTTATTGTAATACTTGTGTGTTAAACAAGGATTGCATCACACAAATGTTTTGTTTGGATCTATATCTATGAATAGGACAAAATAAGCTCAGAGAAGAGAATTAAAGTGTTCTAACCCATATGAAAAGAAACTTACTTTTACAGTCAAGTGACTCTTCTAATTTTCACATCTCAGTAATTAATAAAAATGTCCACAATGATTCACATGAACTCAAAGGGCAAAGAACTGAGATGCTTATCCAGAATGCAGACGTGGTATTTGTAGTTTATCTTTGCTTTGGGGCTTAATAATTTCTACCAGCATTTTGAACAATAAAAGTGCCAAAATCAGTCTTTTTAATACTTAATGATTGATATGAGAAAGCAAAAACATGTCTAACAAGACTGTGCAGCACTTCATATTCTGGTCCAAAAAGGTGTTTCGAAGCATGCTAGACGATGAACATAGCACCAATCTGTAACTCTTTAAATCAGTGTTGTCCAAACTTGGCCACTTTAAGATGAGTGGACTTCAACTCCCAGAATTCCCCAGCCAGCCATGTTAATCCAGTTAACTGAAGTGACTTGAGTGGATTGCTTAGGTAGTTCTGGGATTGGTACAAAGTCCTGTCATGT